GAATATATCAAGATAGAGTGCCTTGATGGCGATGAAGTTGTAACATCTCGTTTGTATTGAGTCTTTGATGCATAGCAGTCTAAGTAAACACCTTAAACTTTGATGGGACAGAAGCTTTCCAGAACACTTTAGCAATGTGAAACAGGCTGAAATGCTGGGCTTTAATAAGCTATTCAAAGAAAAGACTTGCAGGTGTATATTCCGGAAAGTTCTAAAGACCAGGTTCTGGTGTCAGAGTAGGAAGATATGTGAATTGGATCTAGTAATCCCAATAGGCTTTGCAATTCAAGGGTCTCCTTGTCCGGAAGATTATGGGTAAAATGAAGGTTCCATGCCACGCTTTCCTCACTAGTGGAAATGAATTGCAAGACTGAGGTATTGAAAAAAAAACGAAAAAAAAGACTGGGTTATTATGTCCAGATGATAAGTTAAACAAGTGAGGGAACTGAGCGGTTAAAGGTCGATCCCCCCATACAATTTGGTTAGTGGCCAAAACAAATGAAGGGCTTGAGAGATGGATTTCCAAGGGCTAGGTGGATAAGGAAATTAAAAAATAAAATATACTGAAAAATGACAATAGTTAGAAATTTATTAATTCCAAGCTTCCCAACATCTCAATTAAATACAATAATTACGTGACCTTTAACTATGTTATTATTAATCTCGATTCTTCATAATCTCTTGTTTCTTTAATAATAGTTTACACTCCTAACCAAACAGACCCTAGAAGGCATATTAACTCTTTGATCACTTCTAACCAACTCACTTTAGCTGAGTTGGTTATGTGCACTCCTCTATAGCAAGCAGGAGAAGGTTTGAAAGTTATACTAAGCTTTTTGCACCCAGCCGAAAACAAAAAACCTCACTCTTTTCTAACTCTATTATATTTGTGCGTTCGCGAGTGCGTATGAGGGAGGGACTATATTATTTGTAAATAATATATCTACAAATGTTACATCCATTTTGTTCAAATGAATTTCTTTCTTAATCTTTCAATCTTGTGGTGAACAGCAGAGACATCTCGCTAAAAAATGCTTGCTTACTACTGCCAGAGTCAAATAATGTGAATTTATTTTGGATTTTCAGATGGCATTCTCTTCACCTGGGGTTGGGGAGGTTCTCATGGAACATTTTCTGTAGATGGGCATTCTTCAGGCGGACAATTGGTTTGCTTTGGCCTCTCTTATATGAGAAATGCTATTATCAATTATTTTCTGCAATTTAAGAGACCTAAGTTCAATATTGCATGCTCTCTCTCATTCACATGTTTGAATTTTGGCATTAATGTAGTCTGCATTTAGACAATTTTCATGCTCCTGATAGCTTTCAAATCTTTGGCTCTGTTGTCTGATGACATTGTTGCTAATTCATTGTTTTTGCTTTATGGTGTTGAACTTTCAATGATTACATGATTCTGTTATAAATAGGATGTTTTATTAAACGGAAAGATCGGTCTTCTGGACAAGTGAAACTTAGCATCAAGTTATTACATTTGTCACTTTCTGGTCCCTATTACGTATAGAATATTCTTGCATTAGTTTACATTTGTGTGACAAATTAAATAAATTTTATGAGAAGCTTGTAGAAGAAATCTGATTTGTTTGAAGAGGATTGAAATCTGTGGCTTATGATTTCATGACTCATGAATTTATTTGCTTAGGCAACTATACAAATGATGTGATGACTCAGTAGACTCTAAGCTTAAACCAAAAGGTGCAGCCTGAAGCTTAAACCAAAAGGTGCAGCCTGAAGCTTAAACCAAAATGTGCAGCCTAAAAGATCTGTATATTCCAGTTTTAAGTTGCACGACATTGCTTTTGTAATAGTTAATAAGCATACTGCTACCCAACTCTGCCTTTGATAACTATAGTGGTAATATAGTTCCATCTAATATTTTCAATTGAAAAACCATTTTAAGATTTTTTAAATACTGTTATTTAATGACTACAGTATCTTGTTTTTTAGATTTTAAAACTACAGATATGTATTGCGATAGAGAAATTGTTTCTTATAATTTTGCATGATACTGTGCCTTGTTCAGCTTTGCAAGCTTAGATATTTATGTTCTACCTTTTTTGGTAGCGCTGTGGGCATATGCACTGGGAGCTGAAAACCCATTTAAGGGCACTTAGGCCACTGAGCCATTGTTGCTCATGTTTTCTGCTAGCTTAAGAATGTAATGATAGAAACGCAATTCCATGAGATTTGGGTAAAATCTTTCTTCTCGAAAAATCAACTTCTTTCCACTTACTTTATCAATTTTTAAACTACTCATACATATAACAAACTAAGGGGTAGTTCATTGGACTTCAGGATACACAATAGGAGATAACCATATTTCTACCTTTATTTTAAAAATAGAAGAGTAGAGTAGGTAACTCTATCTTTTATAACCTTCTCAATATAAGTATGAGCCCCAATAGATCCTAAGTTATTAGATAACATGTACACTAGTTTTCTTTTATCTAGCGACTAGCATTAATCACTATCATCGTTGTTACTACTATTTTCAGTACCTGATTCGCACTACACTGTAGTTAATTTCATGAAATATTTGCTTCTCTATACAGGGTCATGGAAGTGATGTTGATTACATAAAGCCAACAATGGTGAACTTTGGGAAGAATGTGAAAGTGTTTCAGGTGTCATGTGGATTCAATCATACAGGCGCCATTCTTGAATACATCTAAGTTTCTGCCAACATTTTTATTATGCTTAAGGAGGTTTTCTTCCCATTATAAGTCTTCTATTCCTTCATGTAATCATATTGTTGGATACCAACTGAACATCACAAGAATTCTCTGCAGCAACAAAAATTTCAGGTAGAAAGCACTTGAGGATGAGATTTTATAGGTAAAATGAGGTCCATACAAATCGTATTCCTTGTTGTTTATGTAGAAATAAATAATCAATATCTAGATAAAAAAATTTTGCCCGAAATGGCCCTTCTGTAAAATAAAATATTTAAAAAATATACAAATACTGTCTATATTGGAAGCAATTCATAAGTAAATTCATCTTCTGTATTTGACTGATAGAATAGAGGTTTTAGGTCGTTTCAGCCATCAAGCAAAAAGTATTTTTCTTGAAATATGATTGTGTTTAAAAGTAGCAATGAGTTGGGATTACTTTCTTGGTTTTGTTTTTCCTTTTTGCTATTCTTGGCAATTTTTCCTGCAAATTTACGGCGGAGATGTAAAATTCTGGTGAGCCAACAGGTATAACATGTTTTCTTCGGCTGAAATGGTCCATTACCAATTTTCACCCCGCACATTTACAATTCCATTGACAGCAAATAATAGGGATGGATGGAAGATGTATATTTGAAAGTTCACCTGTCTCATCTTGAGTACCATTGTCTGTGTTAGATTTCTTCTCTATCTACCTCCTTTCTTTTCACTGTTAAATCTTGATTGGTTCCCTATCATTTTGTTAATGCTAGAGCAACAACTTATTATGATAGCAGCTTGACAAAAAACTCATCTTATGTATAGCATTAAACTCATAACTTCTTTCTTCTTCGGAGTTAAAAGGCACATTTTCTTAAGGTGTATTTATATGTAGGAATCTACTGGCCTGATTCTTTTTATACTTCTTTTCTTTCCCTCAAAATTGCACCTTTTGAACTCATCTTTTCGAACTGATGGCGAAAGGTTGTTAGTTAGAGCAATGAACATCACCTAACTCTGCTTGGAATGTTTATGGGTTTGTCTTTTTGAAATTTAGAAAATAAGGCATGCTGCTGTATGACCTGAACACAGTGCAGAAAAGCTGGTGAGAGATGATCCATTGACATCAATCTGTATATCACATGGGTCTATCTCACCATTAACTGTCTGAGGAAGCAGAAAGCAGGACATGGGCATTTGTGATGGAGCTGTTGCATTTATTTCTATCTAACTCAATGCCTGTTCTGCTAAAACCAGGCACCAGCCAAGCATCACCCATTCATAGATGCTTCTTTTAAAAGTTTGAACTTTCAATTTTCAAATACCTCTTCTGATTTTGTTTATCATTCAACATATATCATTCACTCTCTCACCTCTATCTACATGCATGCATACATATCTATGTGAGTGTGTGTGTGTATATATATATATATATGTAAGTTTATGTGTGCACTTTTTGGGGTTCAGATTTCAGACTTAATTGGAAATACTTTACATTTAAAATGTGGGTTTCCCTTTAAAAAAAAAAAGGAAAAAGAAAAAACAAAACAAAACAAAACCATGTGATTTAGAATTTGCAATCATTTTGAACAGTATGGTTGAATTTGAATACAACCAGGTCAAACATATATGGTGAAGTTATATATTTGTATATTGATAAAATCATTCGCTATTTTTCGAAATTCAATCTTTTTTTTTCGAATAAATTATATAATCAAAAGAAACTATGAATCGAAATAGAAGAAATTATTCTACCCATGAGTAAATATTTTGTAAATTATACCCAAATAAGATATGGAAGTACAAACTAAAACAATATGAAGTTACAAAATTAGTTAAAAATTGTTAGTACTATATAAAAAATATTTTTTTTTTAAAAATAACTGTTAATATGAATAATAAAAATTTTACTATAGTTATTTTTGTAAATTCAATATACATAATGAAGAAAGGAATACAGAAAGAGTCGAATACAATGAAATAAGAAAATTAATTTATTCAGAATAAATTTTGAGAATTACATATAACAAAATATTCTTAAAGTAACTTATTTTTTAATGTAATATGGCCCAAAAATTTTCACATCGCTTGAGGAGTGTACTTGATCATGATCCTGCAGTCAACTCATCAGCGTTTACAGCTCTGCTATTTGACTCTTTTGATAGTTTGAATCTGCATACAGGCGTACAGTCAAATGTTTTCTACTTTCAATTTTTCTAAAAATTATACAAAAGAAGATCCTAGCATGGAGCCACAGATTGCTTAAATGAGTATTCAATAATTGAGCTGCCAAACTTTTTTGCATGAAATACATGCTCTAATAAACTACATAATTACTCAATATATATATATATATATACATATATATGTACACCTATTGGAACTTCTATATCCAAATCTAAACTATATGTTAAAAAATAATAATAATAATAACAGTTATTGTTTTAGAACAAACATTACATATTTGTCACCAAATTTCTTTTTTCCTTAGCGTAATACTATCTTCTTTTAAATATATTTATTTTAATGTAATCGAACTTATAATATTAAAAAAAATTAATTAATATAAATAACTATATAAACTTATATTTTGCGATATATTATAATTCATATCTAAAAGTAAATAATAGATCATATTGTAGCTGACATTAATGAAATAATTTGATCATATCCGATCTAGACATACTTATTCTAATCCCAATGCTTATTTTTGTCACTATTGTACCTTTGATGAGAGATGGAAAAAACTAATCCTTTGTAGATATGTTATTTTGTATTTAGTTGCTAACCTCTTATATGATTGCTCTTTATTACGAATAGCGATCAACATAATTTGAGCTTCAAGCTCTTCTATGTTTGAACAAAATTTAAAACAAGAACCAGTCTATTCTCTTTAATGTGTTCGTACTAGCAACACTCAGTTTTCTACATACTAATTAAGATCACATTAGATGTGAATAATCAATAATCAAATTTAGAGTTTCTCCTTTCCTATCAAGGTCACATGACCTCTTTCCAGCAGGAGTTATGTGACTTGTAACTTTTTTAAAAAAATTTATTCTTCCATATAGTATACCATGTAATCTCTTTTCTTTACAATTCCAAATATAATTTTGGTAGATTTGGTATGAAAAAAATTTAAATTACAAAAAAAATAATAATCATTAGTCATAATCTGAGCAGTAACTCTCTTTTTCTCTCATATTTATATTGTAGTTTTAACTCTTTTAATTTCAATTGACATTTAACGTTACTAGTCCAATAAGTTCTACTTATTTACTTTGTGAATATGTACCAACACACATGAACAAAAATATTATAAAACGTTTAAATTGTTTAAATTATTACATGATATTAGAGTTCCTAATCACTTGTGGTATATATTTTGATAAATATATATTAATATTATAAATAACTAAAATAATAGTTGTTCGAGACAAATTGCATGAATATTTGAACTTACTAAGTTTGAGTTGATATCAAAAAATTAAATCGGAACGATACGAAGACAATTCATTAATACAGTTTTAATTATTATTTTTATTTAATCCAATGGAAGAATAATATTCCAAAATTATGAATATTTTAAGATTCTAATTATAATTTTTACTGGGTATCAAGTATTTTTTATCCCTGAATATTCTAACTTTTTTTTTTATTTTTCATACCAATATTCACAACAACAACAAAAAAAAAAAATCATATAATTTAATATCCCTACCAAGTTCTGATATATCAAATTTTATTATATTTTAATAGTTGGCTACTACCATTATTATTATTATAAACTTTAATACTATACGGTGTAGATAAGATAATAATAAATGACAATTAAAATATTTAAAAAATTATAAACACGTGTCATTATAAACAAGAAAATATCAGGCATTGATACTTCAAATCAATTTGATACACGTACACATGCCCCACGTATGTATCTATACATATATATTATTGAAAACTGAATATATTCGTTGGTAGTAAATTAAAGAGAGAGGAAAAAAAAAAAAAATTTGATCAAAAATCAAGAGGTCCTAGAAATCCGCAATATATTACTCTCTCCTCTTTCGCACCTTTTCACCATCACCAATCTTCATCATCATTAACGCATAATTGATCATCAACCCTTTGTGGTCCCCACTCTACACGTATTGTACAAACTGAAAAACCAATCACCTGCTGCCACGTATTCCTTCCTGTCAGCATGCTCTCGTATCCACGTGCTCTTGTCCCCTGGGGCCCATTGTCCGCAGATCGTACGCTTCCCACATTTAATGCATCACGTGGCGATGCACGTAGCGTACGATTCTCAGAGGATCTTGGCCGTCCATTTCCTAACCAAGTTTTGAGTTGATTATTTTTTTTTTACAGCAATGAAAATGATTGGTCCACGTAAGCGAGGAGTAATTGCAAAGGCTTTGAATTTGATTTTCTTCCCCTCGTTGCTCGGGCACTTTTCATCGGTAGGCTCCCGCTGACACCGACATGTCCGGTTTCTAAGTAATTCCGTAATCGCCGTTGGATCGAAATGTTTGGACGGGTGAGATTTCGTATTACTCGATCGCCGTCTTTTCCACGACGTGTTTCAAGGAAGACGTCAGGTGTGCCCTATATAACTTGGGGTGGTAACAATTTTCATGTATTATTAGGAAGAAAATGAGATTAAATAGAGCAAAATAAAAGTATTTAGTGGAAATAAATTTACCAACAAAAAAAAAAACGAAATAATGTATATTAATTTATATGTTCTTACCATTTACTTTAAATTAATTTAACATATAATAATAAATAATATGATGCTTCACCCTTAAATTTAAGAACTAAATTTTTAAAATCCTTAATGCATATTGAATTATGGGAATTTAATTTTGTAGATGAAAATAATTTAAAAAATATATTTAATATAGTTTTTCTAAAACAAATTCTTAATTTATATGTTAAAATTACGCAAAAATAACATAATTTTTTTATTATTTTACTGTTGCAATAATTTTAAAATAAAAACCAAGTGTAACATATTCTTATATAGTATATGTATTCCCCTTATCTTGCCTCTCCATCTCCTCCAAGGATGTACATGTCATGTCATGTCATATTAAGATCACCTATTCTATGTCTTTTTTAATATTTAGTTCTTTATAATTAAGTATGTCTTTATGATAAAGTTCATTGCTCTATCATCATTATTTTTATTTTTTTAATTCAATTGATGTTTGTATCATATTAGAAATTATTTTTTCGTAAACACTTTTTTAGAATACATTTCATAAAGCGCATTAAATTAGATAAGTAAGCACATAAACAGTTAAAAATTTGGCCGAACTTCAATTAGTTAACCAATTTTACTGATTGACTACCTATCTTCCTTGATTCTACCTATTACTATCCTCAATGAAATCTTTTCATTTTGTTGCTAAGCTCTCTTTGTTCGTCTTATTATTTTTTTTTTTGTATGCAATATTTAGTTTTTAATAACTGAAATATGTAATACAAAGTTGTGTCAAATATTTAATATTGTTAAATATTTCTTGTGCTCAACCTTTTATTAGTATGTTGGACTACTATAATATTATTGAGTATATTTCTAGAGCACAATCTTTAATATTCTACTATGAATTATGTTAACTTTTTCCATGCGTTCAACCTTTAAAATTCTACTAACTCTCTTCAATGTTTATGTCTTCAAATTTTTTACTACGCACTATTTAGCTTTTAATAACTAGAATATATAATACCTATTAAGTTGTGTCAAGTGCTTAATACTGTTGAATATTTCTTATATTCAACTTTAAAGATTCTTTCTCAATTAGTACGGACTTCTCTTACTTATTAACATTATTAAGCATCTTTATAGCATAACCTTCAAGATTCTACTGTGAATTATGTGACACTTTCTCATTTACTCTCCCTTCAGAATTCTACTACCTCTTTTTAATGTTTATGTCTTGGATTTTTTCGGTATATAATATTAAGTTTTTAATAATTGAAACATGTTATATATATTACGTTATGTCAAGTATCAATTAATATTTTAGACTTCTCTTAAATATTTAACTCTTTAAAGTATAACCTTCATGATTCTACTGTAGAAAATATTTTTCCGTGTTCTTAATAGTTTTGGGCATCTCTTATACTTGGCCTTAAATACTCTCTATTTGCTTTTTATTGACATACTCATGCGTTCGATATAAGAATTTTACTATTTAGCTTATTGAATTGGACAACTATAAGGGCTTCACTTTCCTCATAGCATGATATTAGTTTTTTTTACTACTATAATAATTTATAATTTGCCTTGGCTTACTCTAGTACCATGCTTTGAAAGTTCTGTTAGCATTTATGGGAGTTAAATGTAATATTGAGAATATTCATAATTGATGCTAGAGAAATTATTATGATATTGAGCAATCTAGTATTAGTTGCTTGAGTATCATGTGACATGCAATAACGTATAATGGACATATGAAAGTGCATGCAAAGAGGTCTTTTTTTTTTCTTACCCTCTTTACTTGTTATCTTTTATTTTCTATGAATTCTTATCATGGATCCTAATAATTGACCTTATCCCATCCTAAATACTCTCTCCAAAAAATGTCATGAAGTATAGGTATTCTAGTTTTAGGACATATCATCCACATGATGTTGGGATATAATGGTGAGAGGGTCACATTTCTTTAAGCATCTTGCTTAAGGTACTTTGTTTTTTGTTTCTTATCTTTCATGTTTAAGACTTTATAAACACGTAAAGACAAATTAACACTACAAAATCTGAGAAGTTCTAAGGCTTTTTAAGGTTGCATTAGCTCTAGCATTAGGCGTAAATAATGCCCCACTTGTCTTGCATGAGCTAATGCTCGATTTTTCTTTATTAGTTATCTTATGTATTTTTATCATGTATCTATTATTAAGTCGCTTTAATGAATTTGTTTTACTAACGGGCATCTCTAGATTGTCACTATATCTAGTACTTTACTAATATTTAATGCAATTAAAATTTATATGAATAAAGTAATATTTATGAACTTATCTAGATATAATATTAATTCATTGTTTTTAATTATTATAGATATTTATGAATTATACTTAAACTATTTATGTTCTACTATTGTAATTTCATTACATGAACCTTGACATTGCACATTTTATTAAATATTTATTGTTTTGAAGCAATTTATGATAAAATGTTATTTGCTTTACATTATTATAAAAGATCTAATAAAAATATATTTAAACTAGTTACAGTAATGTTGGTCCCTTATTAATATTTATTATCATTTATTTCTCTTTGAAAAACAAGAAATATTTTATTAAATTAGAAGGTGACAAGAATAAACCAATTAGAGTAGCAAAAGGTACTCAATAGTTTACCAGGCACACTATTATATACTAATATATAATAAGTAACATTATCAGTTTTAACATAAATAAATATATATACAGATATGTATATATATAACAGAATTAAAATTTAATAATTAATATAATTGTTTGAACTCTCTTTATCTCTCTCTCTTTGCATCATATATAATATAATTATTTACTTAATAGAATTGTAATTAAATATAATTTATAAAAAAAAATTTCTATAAAATGCCCTAGTTAAGAAATGCTAACAATTATTAATATATATATATATATATAGTGTGTGTGTATTTAAATTATTAGCAGATTTTTAAATATTACTTATTAGTGTTAAAATATTACTTATTAGTTAACACTGACCTTATAGAAAACAGTTCATTACCTACAACCTTGGCCGCAGAAGAAACCTTAAACAAATTTTTTGAAATTTTTTTTTGAACATATCTATTTTACTTTTACATAGATGATATTACTTGATGACACAAAATGGTATCAGTGGAAAATGATTATCGGTAAATAAAGTTTACTTTTTTTTTAGAGAGATACAATAAACTAATCTCATAATAATTAATATTCTTCCGATCACAGTCAATTTTAATAAAAATAAAATCATAAATCAATCTCCTAAAAATTTTATTTAAAGTAATATATGATAATTTTTATGCATCTCATGTCCTTTTTCTTTTTACTCTCGACACTATGTTATTTTTTCTAGATGAATTCACTCATTATATAAAAGTCTTTTTTTTTTTAACGTGAAAATTAGAAATCTTTGAGACTTTTGTCAAGTTTTATCATTATTCTCACTTAATTCAATGTCAAAGTAAAAGAGTTTTTGATGTAATGGATGAGGCATTGAAATCGCTTATAAAAAATATTTTCCTATACTAATCTAAATATGTGTGATAAATATTATTTCAATACAATGGTCTTGAACATTGCAAAGCAATCTCCTCACTATGTCAACTTTGAAGTCAATTATCTAAATATTACAATCTTCCTAACTCTAACCTACCCTTTATGACAACTTGGGCATGATTGAGCCTCAAATTTACTTGCCCAAAACTCTAATTCATTATCAATCAAGCATGGCAATATATGAATGGTTCACGAGAGAATAAAAAACTTCAGGTAATTAGACATAATATGTTTAAGATATCATCAATTGTGAGCTTTAATTGTATTGTAGTTCTTCTTATATGTTTATTAGCTAGTCTAGTGCTAATTGGAATAGATATCAAAATATTGGACTCTCTATAATTGGATATTGCATTTTTCTTGGATCTAACTTGATCTTATTGAGTGATAGTTAACATATTTTAGTGCTTGAGTGGATATCACACAATTGTTTCTTTAGTGGCTAATTTAATTTAGATTTAAAATTTTCTTCTTGGACTCTATGTTCTCTTACAGGCTAAACATGTTCCTTGATATGATAACATAATTACTTTTTATAATATGATAATATAATTTCTTTTTACATGTCATCTAATCCAATTCAACATACGTATTATAAATATTTTGAGTGGAACATACTCTTGGTCTGTGGAAAAGTTCAATTTATACAATTTCATATTTGTTGACGGCTATCTTCATCAAAAAATTTTATATATCTTGAAATGTCTTCACTTATTGAGGGCCAATAGCATCATTCTCCAATGCTAAGTTTGAGAGGGACGATAGAATATATTCGTATTTGATTAATTTTATAACAAAATTTGTATTTTGCTTTTAGAAGAGTTTTACTTCAAATGAACTCTTTCTTATATCTCCTATATAAACACACATACATCAAGAATGAAAGTTTATTCAGGAATTTTTACATGGGGTAAGTTATCATCATCATCATCATCATTTAATAATAATGATGATGATGATGATTATTATTATTATTATTATTGATAATATTATCAAGAACACATGGGTAAGTTATGAAAAAGTCAATTAATTGAATAGAACTGTGAAAATTGTGAAAAGAAAATAAATAGATATATAGGAGCTGGATACGCCTTCCCTATGAATTGAAGAAGACAAAAATGTTGTTTTGTCATTGTCACATTACATATATTTAGAGAAAGTAACATTTTTTCTTTCTTGAAAGACAAAACCAGAGAAATATATAAATGTAAATAAAACTATATGTACATATACAAAATAAAATAAGATAAATTATAACAATGAAAGTCAGGTTCTCAGGCAGGCCGTGCGGGCATTGGATCGTACACAGAGGGTTGAATTAAGAAGAGAAGATAGAAAGAAAAAAAAAACAAAGAAAGAAAGAAAGAAAGAAAGAAAGAAAAGCTTTTAAAAAAATAATAAGGTAATGATGAAAGAATCGCCATTAAAGGGAAACAAATGTCTCGTGTCAAGTGTTGTTGTATTGAATAATAAATACCCATTTTGTCTTCTTCTACTCTTAATATTCTACTTCATACTATTACTATTACATGTTTGTTTTGACCTAAAAGGAAGCTCGGCAGCTGGTGGTAGCAGGTAGCAGGTAACAACTACAAAATCTTTTTTATTTAAATTAATTAAATAAATAATTAGACAATGACTGATCACCTAGGAAATGAAAGAAACTTAAAAGGGTTTGTTTTTGTTTTTTTTTTTTGTTTAATTTAATTTTCATTTTTCTGTCTTCGATTAAATTTAAATAAGTTTTGTGGGTGGAGTGGGTAAAGGCGGATTGGGTTTATCTTGGTTACTAAAATACCATTTTGCAAAAGCTAATTTAGGAATCAAATTTAACTGCAGTGTAAAAGCAGAATTAGGGTGTGTTCACATGTATATAAAGGAATATCTGGGTTAGGGTTTTTTTTATCAAGGAAGTCCAAGAAGAATATATATTCATGGTGGCAGTTTGTGGTGTTGAGGGGAATGTTGGCTGGCTCGAGGCTTTGACAAAACAGGGTTCTTCTGCAACAAGAACTTCAAAAAGGCTTCGGACCAGGCTTCATTCCCCTCAAAAACTTATGACTTCTTCTTCTTCTTCTTCTTCTCCTTCGTCTTCTTCTTCTTCTTTTTCTTCTTCTTCTTCTTCTTCTTCTTCTTCTTCAGGCAGGGTTGATTTTGATTTGTGAGGGTTAGGTTGAGAGGAATGTTGTCTGGCTCGAGGTCATGGAGGAGTACGTGATTTGGTTTTGTTGAAATTTAATGTTATAATTTTCTGTATATCCTAAATGATTCTCGGACCAGGCTTCATTCCCCCCACCCAGCAGTTTCTTCAATTATTTTACCTTGATTTAATAATCTCATCTTCTTTATTTACCATAAAAGAGAAGACCCATTTTGCAGATCCCAATTAAAGGTAAAATTTTCCCAGGTGAGCTATATCTATATATGTAGATATGTATGTATGTCTTTCATTTCTCATTATATATATCTGGAGAAATCATTGTGTTCTTAAGAATTATTCACGTTATTCTTTTGCGTATATATGTATTTTACCTGTTAATCAGCTTTTTTCTTGAGTACTTCATGGATATCATATGCTCGATCTCCACACTTCTGAATCTGACAAAGATGAAATGATTTTGATTTCATGACGTATAATTTGCCTTCATGTCTAATTCATCTGATGATGCAGGTTATGGCCTTGTCTTCCCCAGCAAAGAAATTCAAGATCGCCATAACTTTAGCCGGCTATTTTCTTCATAATTTCGTTCCAGTTAGTTATAAATTTAACATTATAGTTTTATGAATATACTTGAAGTACAGTATTAGTTTTGATCTATATATTATTTCTCACCATCATTAATTCACCATAATATAGATTCACGCTCACATCATTAACAAGATAGATAGCACGCAGTGTGAATTATATATATATATATGTATACGTACCAGTGTGTGTGTTAAATTCTTGACTATTTGTAGGCTTAACTTATGGCTAACTAGGGTTTCGAAAACAAACATCCCTCTCTAATAAGCAGCATTAACACTGTCGGTAGCCTTTATTTATTTTTTATCATATACATATATATATAGTTGATATAACCAAGTGGTTTCAATTTTTTGAACCCATTTTCAGAATATGTGCTACTATTTATAAATGCTGTCTATGGAGTAAATGAGAACCCAAAATAGCTGATAACAACCCTTTAACGTTAATAGTAGTGTAAGAATCTTTGTATAGATACAAACTAAATTATAATTATAATAATTGTAATATAGAAGATTTTGTGATATCTCCAAGAAAAAGGTGATGTATGGTTAGCACTGAAACGTAACTGTTCAAAGTAATGTTGAGTGTTTTATTGTTTTGTTCTTGCAGGGAAATTAATGGGTTTGAATTTACAGTTAACGAGAAAGAAAGAACAAAGGCAGCGGCTTTCCCGGTCACTAGATCATCTTCCTTCTTCCTACCTCTGAGAATGTCCAAGAAAATGAAATCATCATCATCATTACCCAGATGCCTGTATATATTTCATTATATATATATATAGGAGTAAGGTGGTGGGTATTAATAAATAAAGGTTTACAGGTTGTTGAAGAATGAGATTACTATATTTGGAAGATGATGAGCGATGGGAGCAGGTCTCTGTTTATTTCTC